CGCCGCGGCCCTGAGGGCGGGAACGCGCCCGGGGCGGGCGGCGCCGCTCCGGGGCTGTGCGTGTTTGGCTGCAAGTCGCGCTTCCCGCGGGAACCGCGCGGCAGTTTGTCGTGTGGGGAATTCTCGGGGGACAGGGTGACTAAAATTTCATTTCCCGCAAGGTACTTAGCATTTATACATCTGGAGGCAAACAAACACAACAGAGTCCCAACACTGATATATTTATCACAAACACATGTACTGGGACATTCTTGTTCAAATCTCCTATTTTTTCTTTCTTTCTTTTTTTTTTTTTTTTTAATCTCACCCCAAATAATTTTGTGGAAGAAACAGTTCCTTCAAATACTTATAATTACCCCTTCCTCTCAGGGCCTGCTGAAAAACCTGCTTTGCGTTTCAAGAAGTTTGTCATTCAACTGTGCTTGGAGAATCATCAGTGTAAACGACTTAATTTGTAAATGAAGTACAATCAGGTTACCATAGATACTCTGACTGAAAGGTTTAATAAATAATATATTTCTGAGTCTAGTACTGTAGTAATCCTTGCTCTCAATCACTTCTAGGAAACATTAAAATTTAATTTGGTTTTAAGCTTCTTGCTTTTATAACTATCTTTGTCCTTTTATATCCATTTTATATTACTAGAAAAGAGATAATTTAGTAAAAGCACAAAGTATGTTCAAAAATGTTATTTTGGAAAGGTGAAAAACACACCAGTGCATGCTGTCATTATAGCAAAAAGAAATTTCAAAAATTTCAGTTTGTCCTACCTTTTAGGTTTTTATTTTGCATGGGTGGAAATTTGCATCTATGGAAAGTAAAGCTGTCTTTTATACCTCAAGGAATGACCCTTCTTGATCATCACAAAAATTCTTATTGTCAATTGACCAATTAATTCCGTTCAGACACTCATATAATCTCTAGTCATTTAGGTTGTTTAGTATCATTAAAATTATTAATAGGAAAGCAAAAAGACCTGACCTTTATAGCTTTATTTCTCTTGTATACAAGCTGTTACAAAATAACTACATGATATACGTATGTGTATACATACACACACCCCTCAACTGCAAAACTAGAATACCACACTATTGTTTACAGAAAAAGAGAGCCTCAGGCTACATTCTACATTCTTTGCTTACTCAAATCTACACATTCAATGATGTTTTAGATGCTAAAGAAATGGATCGACAAATTCAATCTATTTTGCTTAGATTGCTATGCAGAGAAAATTAATGTATCTAAGCCCTCGATTTTTGAAAAGACATTTATATTTAATTCTGTTTTAGCAAGGTATAAGTGATAAAGGACATTCAGTCAAACTGTAAAGTATTCAGCTTTGCTGCAATTAAATGAACACATATAAAAAGAAAATTATTCTTAGGTAAATAAACTTTCAAATTATTTATTAATCTGTATCTGGAATTCTATTTTAAAGATACTTGCATATTAAGTAGGCTTGGATGTAAATTATAAACTGAACTGCAGTTTGGTTTTTGGTATGGGCTTGCAAAACAACCATACCAAAAAAATAATAATTTCATTTACTATTTAAAGCTATTTGGTTCAGAGATGAAACACAATACAACTAAATAAATGCTTAAGCATTTAAAATGAGAAAGGCTAGAAGCTTTTCACTTTAATGCTCTCTGAAAACAAAACAAAACAACAATACCAACAAAATCAAGAGTTTTGTAGATCCAGCAGCTTCCAGTACTTTTGATTTGGAACTGCTGACAAGTTTAAAAATCTTGTCAATTCCATGACCACATAGACTCAAAAGTACATAAAACAAAAGACAATTATTGGGATAAGGCCAACTTAAGCAAAATATTTCCATCCTAAAGCTTTAAAGCTTCTTTTTTTTTTTTTTTTTTTATAAGCTACTCTGGTTTGATGTCTTTCGCTCAACTGTTATCTAACACTTCTCCTGTAGCTCTCTAATTCTGACCACAAAAACACAAATTCCAAGGTTCTCTGTGTGCTCTTATAATGAGAAATCTGGAAAGCCTGAAGCAGCACTTCAGGTTGTTAATGTTCTATCTCATGGTGTTCAAACTCAATGCATGAAGACTCAGCTGGCTAACAGTTAGATCAAACCTCTCCTTGGCTTGACTAAGAAAAACTGAATATATATTAATGTCACTTCAAGCAAACTTTTAAGAATTTGAGGAATGCCATGTAGGCTGTAAGTAGTGGTGAATCAAGCAAAAAAGAGAGACAATTGTTGAAATCTGATATGGTGCACTGAAAGCCCACACAATAAAGAAAAAAGAATTAAGATCACTTCTATAGTAAAGCAAGATAACAGTAATGAGTGTCCAAGTTAAGACCTCAGTTTTCCTTTCTCTAACAATTCAGAGAAAGGAAAACGGAACAAAAATCGAACATCTTTGGATAAGAATTCCAAAATGGAGGAAGAGTTCAGAAGCAAAGAGCATTTCATCATGAAACAATTCAAAGTAATAAAATTGGTTTGGGAAACCCTGAGAAAAACAAATAACAAAACAGGATTATTAATTTTTTCCTCAGGAGATAAGCAGTATTATGCAGTAGTTATGAAGTAATTATGAGTTACACCTACATAAGAAATCATGTTTTATGGAACAGATTTAGTCAACTTTGACACAGTATGCACCTTTAGATCCGTGTGAATTAATGAGCCATACACTTAAAAAAAATTAAATACTTGTGTTGTTATTGTTTCATAGTATTACTGTCTTCAACTTCTTTGATAAATTTGTACTGAACACCTTAAAGACAAGTCAAAAACAAAACAAAAAAAAAACAGAAATGGATTCTATACACATCTAAGAGTACAAAAAAAACCCTACTACTCAGTTGATGAAAAAAAAATGGTGGTCTTAATCAATGTAACTCTGGAGTTTTATCATCATCTACTTACTTCTCTTTTGCTTTTTATCAATAAAACATGCAATAGGGAGCAGTGTTTCCTACAGTAAAATATCCCAGGAAGTACTTCTGTATTTTCAGAAGATAAGAAGGGACTAAAAAATACTGCTTATAGTAAATGACATTTAAGTAAGCTCCAGTAAACCCTCATTTTACTGTTGCAGTTCACCATTGTTGAGCAGAAGAGCAATTCCCACTCTCTACAGGACTCTACGACATTTAGTAATAAATGTTATAATCTTATCCAAAGACTGTACCAAAAACATAGCTGAATTCTTTGAGAGGTTCATATGACTGGGTAATTCTGAAGAACTCGTAAAATGGTACTTATTTTTCCTGAAAATATTGTAGAGCTACTGCTGCTAACTGCATTAACTTTGAAATTTGATAGTTGAAATCCTGTGAATATCAACAATTTGTCTGTTATAAATATACGCTTTTGTCATACAAACATATTATTTAATGCTGCCCCATAATGACAGTTCTTCTACTGATCAGGTTCTAATAGTAGAAACTCCAGTTTTAGCTCTCCTAGAGAATTAGATTTCATCATAAGCATTGCTTTCAAACCAAAATTAAGGGTTTTAAAGGGAAATTCACTTCAGTTAATATTTCTTTGTATTTTCTTACTCAGATACCACTTGATGCAATTTAAAATTTATTCATATTTGGAAAAACGTACTGATTAATCAATAACACACATTAGCCATTGCCATATGTTTTAGCCCTTTATTTTTGTAAATGCAACTCATACACTTGAATTATTGGTTAAAATGAATGGCAAAGACTCAGATACTGGCTCTTTTTTATCAATGGTAAAACTCGCATCAGCTTTCACTGAAATTTTGGGGGTTTAGGATTAGCAACAGATTTATACATTTCCAATCAATTTTCATAACAAAACTGTAATAAAAATGTATTGCTTAATCAAGCTCTCTTAACATTCTGTTTGTAGAAATGCAGATTCAATAATACATTAAAATCTTCAGCTCTGGATTCAAAGGTGTAGATTGTATTTAGAGCATACTCTGAAAAGAAAAATTACCAAATTACCAATTTCATTTATTAAAAACTTCACTTTTTGAGTATAAACAAATCTTATTAGAAAATGGATGAATTTTAACAGGCTTTAAAATATTTCTATTTTCACAGGATTTCAGGGATAATTCCTCATTCAAATAGATAAAAGAGTAAACATTAAAATGTCAGTGTCTAACTTTCAGAATATCAAAATAATTGTTATACATTAATTCCAAACACTATGCCCAGTTCTTATGCAGCAGGTGTAGTGAAAGAATCATGCAAGCTGAGTATCTGGTCTAAATCTACTTTGGGGACTAAGATGCCACCTTTCCAGTGAAGGATTTCATTTTCTACCCAAGGTAGCTTTATCAGTTTCATTGTTTCTATGAGAGTTAGTCCCAAACAGTTCCACTTCATCTTTATGAGATAGATGATGAGTACAATTATATCCAAATCAGCAAGTTTTTCATCAGCTATACTGATACAGTACTCATGTATAGTACAGATGAGCAGCAACAGGGTAATCCTATGTGACAACAGCAAAGGAGCATTAGTCTCGTATTAGAGATAACTTCAGTTTTGCTCCTTGAAACTATATGAAGAAAAAGTGTAAGTGTACACACTGACAGCTGTTGCCTATGCTTTACAACTTGCTGTAATCAAGCACAATCATAGAATCATAGAATCCTTAAGGTTGGATGGGACCTCCAGGGATCATCTAGTCCAACCCCTTGCACACGCAGGGTCACCTAGAGCACGTGGCACAGGGCTGCGTCCAGGCAGCCCTTGGAGATCTCCAGAGACGGAGCCTCAATGAAGTTCAGAGATGAAACGCTCAAGAAAGGAGCAGTTCAACTAGAAATGTAATCTTATCAGATAAATGCAATCTAGCAAATAAACAGTGGACTTCAAAAGCTAAACCCTATGATGCTTTACTTTTCCCAATAGTCTGGAGCATTCCTGGAGCTGTAGCATTCACTCATTGCTTGCAGGTGCTGTTTCAGGCTGTGACGGTTCTGAATCTGCAAAAAAGAAAGAAAAACTTGAGGAAAGTGCAAGCACTGCCTTCAGCACACACCTGAACACATGAAGAGGCTAAAGTCAAAACTGTATCAAGTACGACACTGATCAGGGCAATAACTTTTTGTCTTTTTTAAACACTGAGATACATAATGCATCTCAGGTTGAATAGCTGTGGTTGACAGAAGAGTACAAAAAAAAAAAAAAAAAAAAAAAAAAAAAAAAAAAAAAAAAAAAAAACATGTTGTTTTAGCAGTTTGGGAAGGAAAAGGTTTTCAAAAATACAATGCATCTGTATATCAAACTATGTAGCATATTCATTTTTCACCAATATTCACAGTCTGCCCATCATTTCATTATCTGTTTTTGCTTCAGTGATATAACCAAACCAATTTAACTATTACCCTGAAAAATCTCCAGTTTTCATTGTTTCCAAATGTCACATTAAATAAATCAGCAACAACCACGTGAACCTATTTGGAGGCTTGGCAAATCCCAAATGGTTTGCTTCAAAAATGAGAATCTAATTAAGAGAAATTTCAGTGCACTAGAATGTTAAATAGGTTCTGAAGGCAAAAGAGGAGTCCTAATTTCTTCATTCATGTTAAGGAAAAGCATTTCTGGATTGACCTACAAAGTCTTCATTTCTCTTAAGGCAGCATCTTCTGCATGATCAGAGATTGGATCCTGAAGCTGATTTTGAAGAGCAGTTTCTCAGATTAGATGCCCTATTTCAGGTTCAGAGAAAATCTAGGATCATCCTTTAGTTTTGTAGCAGGTTTTCCTTTGAATGGTAAAACATCACTTTGGTTTTTGGTCTCCTGCTTCCTTCGTATACTCACCTGGAGAAAGAGGCTCTGCAAAGAAGACAAAGAATCCTTTACTATAGATATATTCATTCTTAATAACAATGTAAGACCAAAAAAAAATACCTTTCAACTCCTCACTATTTTCTGATGTTTGTTGAACCTTTTTTTCTCTTTCAGTGTGCTGCTGAATCCAGTCAGCTCCATAACCATTGCTAATTAATTTGCTGAAGTTTACTGCTTCACCATTTCTCTGGGCAGGCCTGTAAAGCCAACAAAATACATCGGGAGGAAAAGCATAAATACATCATATAATATATAAACCAATATATAAACGATCTAATAAAAAAAACACCATATCTAGATCAGATTCACAAAACACAGTTGTATAATTTTATATAAGGAGAGTCATGCTTTCACGCATTTTATTGGAATTTTACATGTATAATAATTACAGAATTATGGTCTTAGAAAAAATAAAGAAGTTCAATGAAGAATGAGAGAGTAAAAAGGACTGATAATAGTATTGTTATAATGCTATGTGGATGGTATTTTATCTCCAAATTTAATCACTTAGTTTACACTAACACATTTCTAAATTAACACATTTCTAAACCAAACTGAGATTACTGATGTCCATGTATAATATATTTGTAAGACTTAAAATTTGCACACAGTGTTGCACACAGCTTGATGGTGTAATCATTTGCTTAGAGAAATGTTATATCTTCCAGGTGTTCACTACCAGATGTTTTTGTTGTACCTCACCTTATGCTAGGTAATAGTTAATATGATTTTTTTAAATGTCACACTTATGTCTTTGAGCATAGTTTACAGCAGTTGGTACCTGTTTACTGGTATTGAGAACAACAAAACCAATTTAGAATATGATAAAAACACTGAGTTGCATGAAGTTCTACCATACAACTGTATGCTTACTTTTCATAAAGCCAAGTCCTATTTAGTATCTTTGCCAGGTAAGCTGAAGGCCTGTTATATCTGTTGTTTATAAAACCATTTCAGTACTCCAGATGATACCATGCTTAATGGCAATAAGGACACACAAATTCCATAAATACATTCACAGATCTAGATCTATACAATTTCATAGGATTACTAATATGCACAAATGGCTGCAGAATTAGGAATTTAAAGAATTTAATAAATATATGACTTACATAGGTGGAAAGGTAAGCTTATTTTTCCCACTGAATTCCTTGTTTGTAGAAACATTCTGAATTTTGCTTTGATATTTAGGATTTATAGCTGGAAGCTTTACCTGTGTTACAGAAACCTTAATTTAGTAAAGTAAGTTATGATAAAAATGAGTAAGAGGTGTGGAAAGAGCCATATTAGAGGCTAAGAATCTTTCAGTGTTACCATTTTAGGAATATTATTTCTAGCAGTAGACATGTAAGAATATAAGGCAATACTAAAAGGTAATACAGCACTTCTTTATTTGAGATGAGATCAGCTGTCTGCTGTCTGTCCAGCAATAATTTAGACTATGGTCATTCATGACCTTTTTCTTGCTGTAGGCTTCTTCTCAAAATTATGTTTCGAATTCAAATTTAGCAATTGCAACTTCTCATCTTGGCTCAGTTGTCCATATGCAAACTCTGAAAACACTCTGGTCTTTCTGAAGTCAATATGATCAGAAATTTTGTTTAATTACAGCAACCTTTTTGGGTAAAAAGCAACCATAACCCATGTAATAATAAAGCTATAGGACTACATTCATTTGGGGTTTGAGATTCCAACAAACACAGATATATAGGGAAAGCCTACAATGGAAGTATATGTTACTAAATATTACTTTTATCATCTTTTTAGATGTTAAGGACAGGTTAAGAAACCCAGTGTTGACTAGCAGTTATAGATTTCACTTCTTTGATTATAGTGAAAGATCCCAATAAGGTAAACAGATACGAAGGCACCTAGGAAACTAGTAAAATGGCATTACAAGGTCTAGGAGTGAAAGTTAGAAAATTGAAAAGTAATGGAGAAACATCAGAAAGCTGTTTTCTAAACAGCTACTAAAGCTGTTTTAACACTCATCAATGACTATTGAAGGGTGGGACTTCCTTCGAACAAAAATGTTAAACAAAATATCCCCGACTAATACCAGATATTTTTCATAAATAATTGAGAAGAAATTTGAGGTTTAAAGTAAATCACGAAGTTGTTAAAGGCTACCTACACCTTCCTTAATTAATAAAAAAAGAAAAAAATGAAGATGCTATGAAGTGTTTTTAAACCCTTTTCTATAATATATTGTTTTATTAGTACTATTTTGACCATTTTATCTTTTAAACATCTGAAGCAGGAGAGCACCCCATAGCACAAAAAGATACTGATGGCAAGTAACTTAAAAGGAAGAAATCAGAAGCATAACTAGAAGTGCTATATTGCTATAAAAAGTACATTAGGCATAAAGATACCCTGAACCTAAGCGGACTCACATACCACAATATCATTAACCAGATTAAAAAATACAGGAACAGAGCACAAAAGTTAGATGCATAATGAGCAACTGTAATTGGATTGCAGACATTATAAAACATTTCACAGGAAAACATCAATAAAAGAAAATTCCAAAGCAGATAAAAATAAAAATACACTACAGAATTAAGGAGCAGATGCAGTTCTTAGCGCTAGGCTTTGAAACATTTCCTATAGAAACTAAAGGCCCATTCATCACAGGTCTCGTAAAATTTCTGGGCAGAAAAAGCAAGACCAAAACCCAGATGAAATTACTTGGCACTTACTGAGCGACAATAAGTATATACCTAGGTATGCGTTGCAAAAATACATGACACCTTACAAAAGCAATCCTATCATTATCTCTGTTTTGTATTACCTCTGATATTATTACTTCTGTTTATATAGCAAGATGAGGTGTCTTGCACAAGCCAATGGAGCAGACTAGTGGCAGAGCTGGGAATAGTTTTAATAATACAATCTAGTTTTGTATTTCCTGTGTCCCCAGGAGGATAGCAATTAAAAAGCGAAAACAGCAATGAAAGGTGAATTCTATGATGAACAGGGAACTTCCCACACTACTACTAGAAGCATGTTGACTGTTAGGACATGAATAGTACCGCTGTCTAAGAAGTTCCTCCTTTCAACTGCTGAAAAAAAAAGCATCCTTGAACAAAAAAAGTGAATTCCAATGCAACTGTCTAGGATACAGGATTCCACACACAAGGGAGTAGTGTTAGTAGTGCAGCAGAAAGAATCCCCAGGTCTGGCAGAAACCCTGATACTGCCTGTAGCTGATCTCCCACCTATACGTAGCCAGTCTCTCTCAGCATTTTCAGCCCACCCTGGAGGGTCCACTTGGTCTGTAGGCTAAAGGATGTTTCCATTTGGGCTAGTAACTTGTCACTTCAGCATAAGGATGAAAGTTGAATCCTTCACATGCTGACGATTCTTTGCTGCTTCATGTAATTCCCCAAGGAAAGAAGAATGCTTGCAATTAAGGCATCAGGAAGAGACTGGATCCAATGCTGAGGCATAGAGAACAATATGGTGGCTTCCTCCTGGTCTCCAGTCCTCCCACGCAGAATTATAGACATAAGAAACATTTTTAATATGAGCAGTGGTGGAGATTTCAGTATTTCAGAAGAGTGGCATGAAATCTTAAAGACCCAGAGCAACAGTCACTTGGGAACTATGTTTACTGAACTGAGCACAACTGCTACCCTTAGAGGTTTAAATGTTTTTGTGTTTGTCCCTAAGGACATCCTTTGAGATTCTGCTCCGTGGTTGCCCCATCATACCTCTCTAGTTTGGAGGACTTACTTGCCTTCGATTGTCTTACTGAAAGATTCCTGAGTGAAAGATTCCTGTGGGAAGTGCTCTTAACAAAACACAAGATAGAAACCTCTTATAACAAGAGACAGCTACTAGGAGTAGCTGTGAAAGAAAAGCCCCATATGATGTTTCAAGGTGTAAGTGATACTTCTCAGGACAGTACAAGAAGAAAGGTACCAAGGAGGACAACCATTTTAGAGATGTTGGTAGGGGAAAAGGAGCTAAGGGGCAGAATCATCCACAGATAATCTGTTTTTTAGGCAACTGATCGGAAAGAGGCAGGCTTGGTATTTAACATCTTGGGTGAAACTTAGCTTATAGAAAAAAGTGGGTATATAGTGGCTATAGAACAAATGGAACCTACCCTGACTGTATGTGAAACTAGGTGTTGGTCAAACTCCACCTCTGATAGATCTCAATCTCATTTTAACAGCCACCATATAGACCTGAATTTCATCTAATCTTGTCAAAATCAAATTTGACTACTCAGAGCACTAAGGAGAGTGGGTTCTTAACTACAAGAGAGAGGGATAGTGATTCAGCTCTCTCCTGTTCTAGCCCTGTAAAGGGTTTCTGTAGTAATTTTTATTTCTATTATCAGTACTTTAAGATTCTGACAGAGATAAAGCTTCACCTAGTCACATCAGGCAAATTATAGCTTAAGCACACATTGTGTGTTTGACTGTTTACACAAAGAGGACGTTCCCAAGCCTGTTCTGAGAAATGAGGTCTACCTACTTCTGTAGGCCATTGACCTGAACTTGTATTAGTTACGTCTGCAAATGATGTTCTTAAAAAGTCAAGCATTTTCACTTTTATTTGAGTTGAAGATAGTTCCTGTTGTTCAAGTATATCAAAAGTCTTCCCATGGGTGCTCTGAAGAACTACATTAACTGAGGCACACAAATTAGAGGGCATGGTAAAAAATAAAACAACATCAACAAAACCTATCAAGCTTAAACACCTAAATGGGGAGGATGGGAAGAGGAAAGAGAGGCTGAAAGACAGGTTTCCAGGACGAAACCAAGAGATCACGCAGACCTTTTTATCTAACGGCAGCCTATGCTATATTTATTTTGTGCTACCTACATTTTCTTAGACTGATAGGGCAGTATCTTTCAGGAGCATCTTTAAACTTAAACTAAAACAAAAGCCCTTCTCTGAACAGTCTTCCATTCCTTCTTCTTTCCCCTTCTTTCTTCCTCCTCCAAGACCACTGAACAAGATTTCCACTGACAAAATAAACTAAATTGCCAGGGGGGAAATAAAAGATAAGAAGACAGAGAACTATTGACTTTCATACACACTTAAACACATGCACCATACAATGTGATTGGAAATTGCATTTCTGGCTCATATGCTCTACCTGGAGCACTTAGGAAAAATGTAATTTTGTTATTATTCTCTAACCTCAATATAGAAAATTGCTTCAGAAATACAGAAATTGCATTGGACTATAGACTTTTTGGTCCTTACTAAAGGGAAGTTAATCAGAAACATCTTCTCAATCTCTACACAGGCAGCATCATTGCCAAATGTCTCTCATTCATACCTTTTTTTTCTCTGTGTTCTCCTTGTCTTCAGCATCCCGTTGCCAAACACTTTTCGTATCGAAATCAAACGGTGCTCTTCTTGTCTCGTAGTTAGTACTATGATGATCACCAGCCTTAAACTCTTTATGAATCATATAATCTGGTATAGTAGAAACATAGTTCCTGAAGACAAAGATTTAATGGTTATTGGCACTATGGATTATTATCAAACATTTTATTAAAAATATTAATCTGAAACATCAATGGATGAATAGAAATCCTAAGAACTTATGTGGGATCTCAGCAGACTTACTGTGGCTCATTGATTGTTGAGGGATCAGAGCAGTGTGAGTACCAGTCAGGTGCAGCATATGCTACTGGAGATGACTTGCTTGTAGCAGGAGTGTGGTGCTTCAGTAAGTCTTAGGATAAAAAGATAAAAGCTGCTAATGGTCTGACTTCTGTCTGGTAATAAAAGCCTTTATCTTCAGATTGCTGCTTTGTCAGGAAGAGAGATTTTTCTATTCAATGTTATTCATATTCCTCGATAAAAATGGATGATGAGCACCTTTCAGCATCATGCTTCAACTGTACCATGTATATTGGTTTAAATATTTTGACATATCAGTGCCTGAGAATTTGTTTTCCTGTATTGGTCATTCTACTCTAACTTTATGTCCAAGCCACCTATTCGAGTTAACACTTTTTAACAGTAACGTAAATCATGAAAAATCCTGGTAAAAGACCAGAGCATGTACAGAACTATACAGTGCTGAATGTCATTACAAACAAAACATTTTATACATCTGTGTAAAGTTTTCTGATAATGCTTTTTGGGATGAGATCATATTTACCAGAATATTACTTAAGTATATCTCAATTGAAAAGACTTCTTTATAATGTAGCTAAACTGTCATTCTGATCTCATTAGATTAGATGTAGATTGGACAGTACAAGACCACAGATTTTGGAAATGAGTAGCTAAATTAAAAATAGACAGCAAAGATTGGCTTTTTTCAATCCATAACTCTTTTTCCATAGTTTAACTTTCAAAATTCCGGAGTATTCTTATGAAACATCTGTAAGCTTTTACTACCCCAAACCAAACTAGAAGAAAAACAAACAAACAATAATAATAAAAAAGCAGGTGTTCACCAGGTCGGCCTCCTTGCTTTGCCAGCTTCACATATTCTGAATCAGTATCTTTGATCCACTTCCTGCGGCTCCCAAACATCTTTTCATCATGAGGTTCTGTAAGGTCACTCAGACCTGGAATCTGGGACGTTGCAGGAAGTGGGATTTCTGAGTTCACCGGTTTCTCTGGCTGTTTCAATGGCATGTGATAGTACCAATCTACAGTAGAAGAGAAAAAAAGCATTTAACTTTTGCTGCTAACATCCCTTCTCTGGTAGAAAAGTAACAAACTTTGTTATTCAAGATTGAAGAGAGTTCATTTGAACTTATTGTGCGGGGCTGATAGTGCACAAGGCTTTCAGAGGATCAGATGCAGTTAAGCAATGCTTTTGTTTAAATTTTGAATTAGATTTCAAGTTTTCACTCTAAGTATTCTAATACACAGGATCACGTAGTTTCATGAAGAAAATCAGACCAAGGACACCAAAAGCACTAAGCTACATAAAACCATCTACCTTCTGTTTTCTTTCTTCCTCATCTATTAAGAAGAGTAACAATAGCATTATGATTTTTCTGTTTGCAGCCTTCACTAGTAAAAAAAAAAAGTGAAAATAGTGTTATCAGCCAAGAAAAAAAAATTTGCTATGAAAGACACAAAGAAAGCTCACAGAAATGAGCCCACCTGCCACACAGTTATATACGTGCAAGTATTAACAGTACTTATCCTATTAACAGTAACTTATCCTATCAAGCCACGCTGAAACCTTACTAATGGAAGAACCTACTTTGTTTTGTGGCAGGATGCAAAGACATATTAGACTGTTTTCTTTCACTAGACTTTCTAATTAGTCCATCAGGACTAATTATCTCTACTCTACCTAATTATCTCTAAAGTTCGTATTCAATTTGCTAGGCTACCACCATCTTGGAAATCCAAATCACTTCATACCTTAAGACTGAGGAGAGTTTTTTAAAAGTTGTAACTTGACTGAGAAGAGTTTATATTTCAATGGAAAATGCCAATAACTGACTGCAAGTTTTGAGATCAGTAAACCCAATCTAACAAGCTAAACTCTACTGGGATTTAACTAGCATAAAAGGCGTTTTAGGATGGATTTTCTTCCCACATGATCTTCTAGTGAACCTCTGCAAAACAGACAAATGACGTAACTTAAAATACAAGAGACGTGTTAAAATTATTTGGGCATGGCACAAATGCTTAGACCTCAGAAAATACTTTAAAAAAAAGAGGTAGGTTAGGTGGGAACCTGTCAGAAATGTTTAAAAATGAGGCTATCCCACCACTGCTAAGAAAAGGCAAGTAATCAGCTCCACATTGGGTCATTAAGATGTCCCCACAGCCCACCCAAAAAACCCCACAACTACCACCACCACCAACAACAAAACCCTCTCAGATTTGGTTTCCAGAATTACAAAAAACAACAAACTTTGCCCGGCCCTGATACCCAGCAACCTCCAGCCTGAGGTCTCTGAGGTCAGCTTGCGCCGAGGTCCACGGAGTGACTCACTGACGGGGGCGCAATGTGCCCGTAACTCCGGGAGCTGTGCATGGGGAAAAGGTTTCTTAGGAGCAACCTGGCACGGTTGCAGGCGCAGGGAACACCGGGCGCTGCCTCCCGAAAACGGCCACCGTCGCTACCTGCCCTAGGGAGAGCACGGAGCACAGCAGCCCCACGCGCGGGGCCGGGGGCGGCGCGGTACTTGCCGCAGGCGGCGTGGCGGCGGCTGCGGGGCGGCTCCGCGACGGCGCTCCTCATCCCGGCCACGGGCCTC